CACAGTTCCCCTTTCATTCTCATGGGTTTCTGAGATAAATCTTGTGGCTATCAGTCACAATGATTTTTGCAAAGCAGCTCTTGGGATCAGGAAGGTTGGCCCAAACCTGTTGTACAGTATCACATAACAGGATGCAGTTGGGCAATACATTCCCTGCATCTGTTACATTAAAGTATACTTTGTAAGATGATCCATCATTAGGTTCTATTGTGAAAATGAAAGTGTAACTCCAATAAGCTCCCACGAGCTAAATACAACACATACTATTTGCCCAGCAGCTCGTCTTGTCTCTCTACTGTGGCTTCAGTAAATCATGGCTAGCATCTCTCCTGAACACGCTTTTCAGAAGCATCAGTAGAGGGTTACACTTTGATTATAACGTTTATAGCAAATTTATAACAATTGACAAAGTAGCCTTAGTGGCTTACTGTTCAGTTTACTTAGATGCTCTAAAAGTTGACTTGTATACCACCTTCTGACTATGCATTATTATCTGCCAGAATTTTTTGCCCCAGCCATACATAACTTCCCTTTGACAAGCAAAAGTAAAATTCATTCCAATTAACTTTTCACATCAAGCTGTAAAAACCTTCCTGTATGCTATATGGCTTTGCTAGGTGTGTTTTTGAACTATGCATTGAATAAATTATGTGTCCTGATTCTCTGGCTCTTCCATGAGGTCCTAACCATACCGAAAACAAGGTTGAGACTTACACAGCACTTTCTCCTTCTTATTTCAGTATCATTTTCAACTTATGTGCCTAAGCACTAGCTGAAAGGTTATAAGGAGTCCTGAAGGTACCTTAGTCACACTCGCCGCCCTTGCCTTAAGTGCATCATAAATTTAGGCACAGAAAGACACTAGTACTGTAGTTTCTAAAAATTCTGGAGGAGTCTGGCATAGAAAAGACTTTCAAAAGGTGAAGTTTAGCTTCAGGAAAAAAAGAACTCCAGTCACTGTGCAACAGATTTTTGCTTCTTTAAAAGGACCTTATGTTCAGCTATTTCATAGTTCTGTATTTTATATCTCTGTTTAGAATGCAAACCATTCAATTTTTTTTAAAATTAAAACAGTTTCTGCAGAAAACCACAAAATATTTTAGGAATCTGTGCATATTTTCACCAGTACACTGGATAACCCAAACCATTTTTCATACAAGAATCAAAAAATGCATGCTTACACAGAAGAACAGAAATCTAAAATCACACGAAAGGTATTTTATTTTACCTTCTTAACAGGTGATGTAGGTGCCCCTTGGCCACCGCCTACTGAAGGCGCTGTCACAGCTGCCGATGCGGATTGCGTACTTGTGGTATTTGCATTATTAGTTACAGCTGCCAAGGTTTTGGTCTTATCTGCAAAATATTGACAAGACTTTAATTTTCATTTTTCATTCACAATTTCTTCACTTCTACAACACAGAGCTGAATTTCTTTTTAAACTGAATTGATAGTCAACTTTCCCAACAGCATTTTATTATTTACTTCTCAAGTTTTGCCCCCCTCACTCCCAATGTCTATCTTAGATCCATCTTTTCTCCGTAACACTCATAAATACAACAGCTTTTTTGTTATTCTGGAAGTGTCTCAGAGACGCAGAGACAGAACCACAGAATCATTCAGGTTGAAAGTGACCTCAGGAGGTCACCTAATTCAAACTTTTGCTCAAAGCAGGGTCAATATTGCAATATAGACCAGGTTGCTCAGGGCTTTGGTAAGTCAGATCTTGAAAAAAAATCTAAAGAAAGAATTTCCACAGCCTTCCCATCTAGCCTATACTTTAGTAGATGGCTAATGACTGTAAAGATTTAACAGCAGGAGGTATGTTGGCACGTAATAGTTAATTTGAACTACAGAAGATGCTAAATCAAAGTAAAACATTTATTCTTGGATAAGTGTGTATACTGAGTGCAAAGAAATAATGAACTGCACAGAGACTGCAGCCAGGGACTGCAGTCAAGAGAATGAGCTGAGGCAGGGCCCTGCCTTCCTGAGCTCTGACTGTCCTTTTGCTTCATTCCTTCTCCGTTCCTCATTTTTCCTACCTAAGTTTCACTGTCCACTTGCTCTATCCTCTTCTGCTTTGTCCTTCCTCCCCACATTTCTTCCTCTGTCCTTTGCCTGTGTACCTTAACCCCTCTGACACAAACATACAGAAAATCACAGAATCACAGAATCGCTCGGTTGGAAAAGACCTCTGAGATCATAATGTCCAACCCCGTTCCTGTCTACTCACTAAACCATATCCTTAAGTACCTCATCTACCCACTCTTTAAATACATCCAGGGATGGTGACTCCACCACCTCCCTGGGCAGCCTGTTCCAGCTTCTGACGACCCTCTCAGTAAAGAACTTCCTCCTTATCTCTAACCTGAACCTCCCTTGGCACAGCTTGGTGTGCCAAAATGGCACGGTTGTGACAGAAGTGTTTTCATTGCACTTGCTGAAGCTTCACAGTCTTACACTTCACTTCCATTTCACCTGTCCTAATTGCATATTCTTTGGAGTAGGATGCTACATTCTATCTGTGCAGTACGGAGCAACATGGGGATCAATCCCCATTGGTTTTGGACCTGCTCTAAACATACCTTTATGTCTACACTACCCACGCAGCACAGGAGCAGTTAATTCAGAAAGTAGGCAATGTTCTCATATCTAACATTCAAATTCAGTCAAGTACCAACCTATGACTGGAAACTGTATAATTAATGGCACTGCTGTTACACACTTGTTTTAGTTATGGCCATAGCTGAACAGATGTTTAGAATACTTAATTATGCAGTAAACAAATACAAATATAAAAAGATCAGCTTACATGACTAACTGTGCACTTAATGGAAAGTTCGTTTTAAACACAAGTGAAAATAAACGGTGGTAAACTTCTAGGTCATGGTGACAAAAGTTCAACAGGACAATGCAGACTGACAGTATGATTTGAGATGATGCATAGGCAGATCTGCTAGAAAATTGCAAATAAGCAATACAGCTTTAAAATATATAGAAAAAATTATCAAGATTGAAAACATGGAGAGAGAAAAATGGATTTTTCACAATAGTCTTCTGAAATTATTTCAGGGACAGCAAGAACATAGTTGTATGCATGACTGAGCTAATACTGACTAACTTTCAAAATATATTAAACTACCTCAAAAGATGAAACTTAAAAAACCTGAACTGCTGAAAATTTTATTTTTCAGCTTGTTTCCCTGTCCTTAGGAGATGATGGCTTCATATTCATATTTTCATTCTTGGTCTTATAGACAGAAATGTACTTATTTTTAAACTGTTTTAGGAAAACATTTCCAATATCCCAATAGATTAGAAATCAAAGTTTCCAGTACTTCAGAATATTGAACATTGTCAAAATATTTTACAACCAGAATACTTCCCATAATCTTAGGATTTTTCATTAGAAAACTACCTTAAGCTGAATGATGGGAAAAAAGGGAAAGTACAAGCTTGGAATTAAGAGATGCAGCTCTGCAGGGAAAAGCTTAAAGTCTGGCTTGCCAAATAAAGTATGATAAAGCCGTGTTGATATTAAAAAACCCAAAGTTTACATAAATTAATTCTTGTGTCACAGTCAAATTTTCCTGGCACAAACCATCTACTGGTAATGAAGAGAACACAGTTACCAGAGTCATAAAGTTCAGGAGACGTTACAGTGACTGAGAAATTACTACATGTTCTGTATTACAAGTGTTTTGAGTTTATCAAAGCTCAGTCTACGTAGACAAGGGATGCAAGTACACTAAGGTGAAAGACTAATTACAAAGCTTGACAGATGTTTTTTCCAGTGTAACAATGAAATCCTGGTTTACTTCAAAATACAAAAATAAACAAACCGTAAGAGACAGTTTGGTTTCACAGCTTATTTTTAATTCTGCCTACTTTAAATATTTATGGTATATTGGTTAGCTCTAAAATCCCTCCTTAGTCTTATCTTTTCAGATGAAGAAATTAGAAAGAATGTTTTAAAGTGAGAACTGAGAGCCCACTAAAAAGGGTTACTTATTTTAGAAAGTGTAAGTATAAAATATTAACAAGGTATTTCTAATAACATTTACATCTATGTATTGTATTGCTGCACTGTAATGCTAAAATTCTTTATTAGGACTGAACATACATCTTTAAATGATTGCCTGACATTTGTTTTCTGATTTGAAAGCAAAAGATGCTCTGCTGTTCTTACATCCCTACTTGCTTTAAGACTGATAACTGTTCAAGAAAAAGCTTCCAGACATAAATTCCATTGAAGAAAGAAGTACAGAGTAATGTTTCTTTGCATACAATTCCAAACTTTTCAAAGAACATTCCTCTTGAAATGAAGTTGCATATGAAGTAACTGTTAACAATAAAATAGCACCTTTAAAAGTTTATTTCAGTACACACTGAAAATATATGCACCGTATTATGAATACGTGAGACAAGATTACCAAAGTAATTGGAAATCACTTCAGAAAGGGAAGAACAAATGAGAATGTTTGCCCTTCTGCTGTTCCAATCTCTACACCAGTTACACAAGCAAACACTGCTATGAAGCCGTTCTGATTTCATCTTCTGATTTCTTCAATGTTTTCTGACATGCTACTTAAGGCTTGTATTATTCCAACTATTTAATTAAAAATATCAATTGTTAAGTAGCCAATCAATAAGTAGGTTAATTGCTTTAATCTAAATAGTCACCAGTAAAGACATCTGTTTGATATCTCTGTTATGACTTGACTTCAGACATATATAAACTTGCTCTAAAATTACTGGAAGCTTGGCAAAATGCAGAAGAATAAGTGAAACTTAAGATACTTAACTCTGTATCAAGTGATATTAAATCAGCGAATTTTTAAAGTAAAACCTTTAAGAAAGACAGTACTCCAAATAACGCACCTGTCTCCGCTTCGGATTCTGAGTCATCATCCTCTTCCTCTTCACTAGAACAACTGGATTCATCCTTTTTCCCTTCTTCTTCCTCATCTGCTTTCTCTTGCTCCAGAGACTCTATACTAGATGCATTCTTTTCTTGCTCCATAATCAATGTCTCCTTACTGAGTTTGAAAAGAAAAATACTAAGTCCTGAAAAGTTTACTAAAGTCTGTCAAGTAGGACTTTGTGATAGCTTGCAAAATTATCTTTATAATTAAGAGCCTATCATTTTTCCTAATTTACTTACTTTTTGAATGTTCTCTGTGTCTGATTATTATCCATGTTGGCTGTGGATTCAATTAGGGGAGATTTCTTTTCCCGTTTTTCACTATGAAGCTTCAAAACATACAGAACAATGCAGTTAAATTGATACAATGGTATCAGCGTGACAAAATTACAAATGGAGGGCAATCTTCTCACAAATACTAGAAGATGTATAAGCATTCAAAATGCTAAAGCTCAAAATTCTAAAATCTCAGAAACTGTTATTCCAAGTAAATCACTCATTGTTGAAGCTTCAGATCATAAAATGCCCACTGCACAAGGCGAATAGAAGAGCACCTTTGTTCTTCCAAGGCTTTTTGGTCATAATAATTGACCAGGTAAGGGCATGAAAGAATTTTAGAGACTGTGGCATTACCTGTATTGAAGCTCCGAATTAAACCTTTGTTTTTAATCTAAATGCTTCTCTGAGCTGTATACCATAATCACATGTATAATAAAGTATATCATACGTATAAAGGCCTACCAGATTCTGTTTCTTTTGCAATTCTTCTAAATATCCTAGAATATCTTCATCTGCCACATCAAACGCTGTCTGCCCCTGGAGAAGGGGAAGAAGTAAAACCATAATCGTACAGCAGAATCTAAACGTAATGTATTATGCCGCCTTATCACATGTTGATGCAGGTAAGGAGCACATTCAGAGAGAGAAATTAAAAAGTATAAGCCAAGCTCTATTACAAACTGTTAGTCTGTCAGTAGCTGAAAACAATTTTGCAATATTACTTTCTTGAATAATTTAAACAGAAACACGTATATGTGATGAGTAAACACATTTTTCAAGAAATAAAAACATGACTTCAATAAAAACTTGATGTTCATTGAAGGAAAAAACCATCAAGGAGAAGAAAATAGACTGAAAGAATATGATTCGCACAATATTAGCTCCAAACAACTATTCCAATAGCAGTTGTATGGATGGATACTGAGCAGTTCAGTATCTTGTTGTATTGGGTTTTCTGTGAGGGGTTTTTGGTTGTGTCTTTGGTAATGAGGGAAGGGCCGTTTAAGGGAAGGCCCTTTACGAAGCTACCTGAAAAGCTCCCCTTTTTCCTTTGTCAGACCCACCTCTGACCAGGGTCAAGCCAATCAGCTCCCCTGTGAATTCATGTAGTTAAGGGGGGTGCAGGGCATGCCTTACTCTCTCTTTGGCACCGGCCCTGACCAACGCAGCCCCAGGTGTGGGTGGTGCGGCCTTGGCCCTGTCCGGCTGGGCTTGGCCAGCCCCAACCACAACTTAAGCTTAAGCCCCACTGCAGCTCCATCCCGAAAAAAGATAGAGAGAGCCGGGATCTCCAGAACCATCAGAAGAGACCTGCAGCAGAGAAAGGAGTGGGGCCCGAGGAGAACAACTTTGAAGAACACCAAGGTCGGTTTGAAGGAAAGAAAAGAGAGGGAGGAGGAGGAGGACGCAGAACCCAGGTTTCCCCTTTGCAACACATGGTGAGAGCCGGGTCGACTGGTTGTGTGTGAGGGAACTGTAACCATGGGCAGACCCAGACTGGAGTTTTGTGGACTTGGGCTGAAGCAGTTTTGTGTGTGAGGAAAACTGCAGCCGTGGGCAGACCTATATTGGACTTTTTCCGCTATGGAAAGGGGGCCACGTGCAAGCAGACAGAGAGAGAGAGAGAGACACTGGGCTGAAGGTATTTTTTCCCCTACTCTTGAGAAGCACGTGGCAGGAAAACCGACTGCAAACCCCCACTCCCATCCCCCTGCGCCTCAAGGCAAAGGGGGAGGGGAAAGGTGAAGGAACCAGGAACAAAAGCTGAGCCCAAGAAGAAGGGAGGGGTGGGGGAAAGGTGTTTTAAGATCTGGTTGCATCTCCCATTGTTCTACTCTGATGTTGGTAACAAAATTTAAATGGTTTTGTTTTTTATTCCTTATGATGGGTCTGTCTTTTGCCTGCGACCTGTTTAAGTGGTGAGAAGCCCTCCCAGTCCTTATTTTGACTAGCCCTTTTTAGGGCATCGTGGTGCTCAGGCACTGGGCCTAAACCACGGCACCTGTCCATCTAAGACTACCATAGACAGCTTGATTCTTTAAATTATTTAAGTAAGCTACACTAAATTTAAATATTCATGCTTTCTCATTTTTCAATAAAACTATATTCTAAATTTTAGAAGAGAGCTGCTATAACCATTTGTTCTCATCCCCCCTTAGAGTACGATTTCTGTGGGACACTTACTTGAATAAACAGGTCCTAATGTGATTTATTAGCACAGAGTAATGCTGTCACCTGGAAATTCTTCAAGTTTGCTCTATCTTACATCTGCACAGTCACCGCAATTCTCAACTAGACCAGATGCCCACAGGACATGAGATTCTATCTTTAAGGTCTGAATTGGTGAAGATTTCAAACCAGCAATAAAGAGAGAGCTGTCATTTAAAAGTGGTCACGGCAGCTTAGAAAGGTAATTTTCATATATTGTATTGACAGAAATCAGAAGCAGACCAGAATCTATCTGTAAAACACGGTGCAAAGCACAGAAAGAGAGCTTCAGCACTTACACAGTTGAGTGAAAAGTTTTGGATCTTTGTGATGCCTACGTGAATCACGAGTATACTTACACCTGCTGGGAGCAAGGCCTTGCAAAGCCAGCAACCTATGCAGGCCTTTGTGTAAAAGTCGAAGAAATAAAGCTTAGGAAGCATTCAGGTTATGTCTGGGGAGTCCAGAGATGCCTAGAAGCTTCTTCCAGCACACCCTAACCATAAGATAGTGATAACTCCTTCCTATGCCAACAGAAGCTGATTTTTTTTAAGAGTGAAAACACTATCCAAAAGCATCATCACTGTCTTCAGTGATCAAATGAAAGCCTGTATGCAATCCATCAAGGCACTAATTCTGTACCTCTGAAACGTTAACAAACCCACTCTATCTTGAATTTCCCTGTCAAAGATTACATGGATCATTTAATATGGAACTAAGCATAAAGTGGGCCTAGAAATGAATTTAGACAGAGAATTTAGTTTTGAACACAAACATGCTGTTTTGACAAAACATGCATTATATAAAGCTCCACGTACAGTAAACAGCAGTTTACCATCACTTCTCTTACCCTGGCTTCTAAAGTCACTTTAGAGACCAGAACTTTGTATCTTGACAAGGATTACATAAAAATCCTACCACTTTGTTGACAGCCTCCATATCACATAGGTTTTCCACTAAAATGCGACATGCTTCTTCTTTACCCCAGTGAGCAGCAGCATGAAGTGGTGTCCAGCCATCATAATCTTTAATATTTACATCGTAGCGCGCCTGTATTAAAAGCCTAAAGAAATTAAAAGAATTAGATCTTGACGCTGCTGACAGGAATAAACTGTTGTAAAAATCATAAAATTATTCTATAATGATATCCTTCTCCTTTTTTGTCAGAGGTATTTTAGTTGTGCTTTTAACAATTCGATAATTTTACTTCCTTACAGCAACATTTGCCTTTTCACTGTTCAGTATGTATATGTATTTTTAATGACATTTCAAGAAAAACAGCCTTCTCCATTTTCTTCTTTATTCACTTCCTCTTATTTCAAAGTCCATTGTTTCTATACAGTTAGATTTTTTCTTCTGTATGTACAGTAATAGAGAAAAGCCCTTTTAAGGAAAGGAAAGCTGTAAAGTATCAAAATTGTTAGATACAGTGTTCTCATCTAGTAAATTATTAGAACCTTCTCCTATTCCTATTAGTTGCTACTAGTTTTTAAGACTAATATTAGATGCCTGAAACTTGCATCTCCTCCTGTCATCAACATTTGATATAGTAACCATTTAGTGTTTATGTTTTCAATTGCTCTCCGAGAGGGAGCAGAGCACCTCCAATTGAGGATCTGCTTTTAGGCCTGCATTCAACACTCAAATTCAGCATGGTTCTGCTGTGAGAGTCAAAGCGACAACAGACACTTAACCTGGCAAACAGTTTTACTTGAAGAGCTATCAGCTCTCAGAAACACTGTCCACAATTATTAAAAATCCCAGAACTGTGAAGCATTCTTCACAAAAATTCTCTCTGCTTCTCAAGAGCCAATATCCTTACAGTAATATCCTCCAGTGAGTCAACTTTCACACATGCTCAGCTGCAAAGTCTTGCACTCTACACAGAGCACACATTTTTGACAGCTTGAAGCCATCATGAAAATTGCCTGTGGATATATTTCTCCCCTCCCAGGAAAAGTACACGGATTGGACTTCAAAAAAGATGCTGAGAGTGCTAAAAAAAGGTTATAGACGTAGCTGCCTTACAGATACATGCTATTCTAAACCAAAAATTATTCTTTTCCAACAGAGTAGTTGCTCTTCATCATGTTGAAGCATCAGTGTTTTCTGAAGCAGAACTGCCATTCAATAAATTGCATGTAATGGTTATAATGATTTAAAAAGCTCTGTCATTCAACTTCTGTGTTGACAAAGCATTACAAGGCTCTGCACACCTTAAAGGTAGCAACACTTAACAGGAAGGGTGTGTGCTGCTTTTCAGTCATATTGCAATATATAAGTGTTCCTAATACAGCCAAAGCAGTCAAATACGTTTACAATCACAGCAAACCAATGCATATTCAGTATGCTTTACTTCAATAACAGCAGAGCTTTGATGAAAATAAAATTAAACCTCTGTTACAGTATATGCTTGTATTGCACTGTATTACTGAAAAGCTACCCATGAATTAAGGGACATCAGAAGTCTGAAGCTTTCCAGAAAAAGATTTCAAGAGTCGTCATTTTACAAATATAAAAATCAGTATCAAAAAAGCAAAATTTAATTCCATGTTTCTTAGGTCTGAAAACCTTTAGCCTGGATTATGAACTCCGCTTTACGTACACAAATACATATGGCATCGTGAAAATATGCATCAAGAAAAATGCTAACTGGCATTCCATAAAGGTATTAAGCTTGTTTATAAAGAAACAGAGCCCTTCAGAAACAGGGCAAGTATTTTGTCAACTTTCTTCTTTCAAATAAGTATTCAAGCTCAATATGTACACTGTGTTCATATTTTGGATGACGTAATGTGGAAAGCTAACAGCATCATGATTTAGGAGTGCTTGAAAACATCAAATCAAGCTTTGAGGAAAATACAGGTCTAGAGATTGTTGCTTTCCCCAAAAATCTCAAGTGTCCAATCGTATCAATTTCAGGCAGCATTACATCAACAAGACGATCAAAGACGAACAATTTCCGTTTAAAGCACACTTACTTTAAGACTTCTGTATAGCCCTTAGCAGCAGCTACATGAAGTGCTGTACCACCAGACTTTGCATGTCTGACATCGTTTATATGGCCGCTGTTGAGCCACTGTCTTGCATCCCTTAGCATTATTCGTTCTTCTTCTTTTCGAGCTGCCTCTATATCAACCCCTAATGCAGGTAAGGACGGAAAGAAGGAAGAGAGAACACAAAATATATTAGTTCAAAAACTTCAATTCAATTATGTAGCGAATCTTATATCACGTTTATGTGATATAATAAAAATCACAGCTAAACAATATGAATAGTAGTCATGGTTAGAAATTAATGTTTTGAAGATGAACTCCAAGAAGTTATGGAAACATCCATTATTGCATGACACTTGGTGTGCACAATGCAGTTTTTCTCCCCAAAAGAAGAGAGGGGCAAAAAACTCAAAGCCACTAAAACTGACTCTTCAATTTTAAGAATGCCTACCATTACTGTAATAATCACCGAACTGACAAGTCAAAACAAGAGAAAAATTACATTTTAACCTTCCAAGCACCAAAATATAAGTCTGGTTCAATGTATCTGTAGAAAGCAGAAAACAGCTACAATTTTTACAGGGAGGTATCTATGGGAAGAGGAGCAGCCCAGCTTCTCAACACTGACGAATACAAGAAAGATTTTTTTATACTTTCTGAAGAAAAAGTTTGTCTTCTATCACTGTGAAACAGAAACCTGATACTCAAATAGCCAAGCCTGTGAAAAATCACCCTTCATATCTCAGGTTAAAAAAAACCAAAACACCGAAAACTTTATGGTACATCTCACACAAAAATTATCATACACAAATGAAAAGGGAGGAAAAGAATATAACATTTGCCAGTATACACACCAGGTTAAACAGACTGAAGAAAACACCAGACCCTAAATGAGCAGAGCAAAGCATGTATTTGCAAGCAGTTTTTAATTACTATGACATGGAGAGACCTAAAGAACACAGCAGGAAAGGGGTCTCGAAGAGAACCATGCATGAGCATTGCTCTGTCTGTGCTGAATGAACGGTGACAACTTTGTGAGGAAAACGGAGGAATTATGGTCAGCAGAAACACAAACTGTATCTGGGTTGACCTTGAACACAAAACCAGTGGGCCAACCTTCAGCAAAACTATTTTATGTGTATGATTTATCTAATCTTAAGCAATGGTATGTAGGGACTTGGGAAATATATGCTGTTCTTCTGAGTTTTTAAGTTCTCGTGGAGCAAAGCATTAACTTGGACATAATAAAAAAAGTGAAATCTAGAAACAGGTACTGATTTACTAGAGAAAGTCACAAACCTCAACTGTAGTCCTTATATTCTATAAAATAGAAGATTACTTTTAAAACACTTAAGAGAGAGATGCTCCTTGACTCAGATCTAATTCTGCATTTCAGTATTTCCTGATGAAGCTTCATCTGTCCCCAAACTGTTTTTCTCCAGCAAACATGTTTCTATCATAACTCTTTTAACCGTTCGACTAATCAAAACAGAACAGTATTGAGCAGACTGCAAACAAGACTATGCAAAGCTAAAACATCTCTTTTCGAAACTACTCTACATAATTAATTTATTTTAATTAATTTTCAAAGTCTTTATAATGAACAGCCATTTCAGGCTCTAATGTCTTCAAAGAAACTGCGAGCTATTAAACCTTTACAGGGTGAGTGAACCCCCAGCATATGGAAACCAAATAAAGTCCAACATGACTGCTGCCCATTTAGACAAGCAGCAGACACTGAGCCAAGGGCTGAAGTGGCCTTTATTAAAGAAATTATTACTATCATGAAATGAAAAGACATAGATAACACAGAGATGATCAGACGTAGTGCAATGCACTATTCTACTGTGTAAAATGTGATAAATCCAATTAGAATAAAGCAGATTTATCAAGCTCTTATCAATCTCCTGGCAACTAGAAAACCAGAGTAACAAACCAGCAAATTGAAAGCAATGAAATAACCTTAATGCAGTGGGTAGCAGATTGATATATGTATTATGTTATGTATGAATTGATATTTCACAGACGCTGCAATTCCCCAACTAAAGAGCAAGAAAACCCCTGAAAATGACATGTTCAAATCAAAACTTCCTGAAATGCAGAAACAAGACATGTAATTATTACATGCTCTTGGAAACATAACATGTTATTTGTTTGGTCTGCAGTACTATGACAGTGCTATAACAGAGTTCACCTCTTTTTTATTATTCTTCTGTCAATTCACACTGTAACAAATATTCCCTGACTACAAATATATTTTTAAATAAAATAATTTAATTAGAAAAAATGCAACAAGACAAATCACAAGAAAGATCAATTGGTGAAAAGATTCTGCTCACTAAGGAAATCTGGTAAAACTTTATGCTGAGGACAGATGGAAATGTAAGACTTTACTAAGTATCATAAAATAACTGAGGCAGGTTATGCATTAATTGTTCTAAGCAGTTGACTGCACTCCTAGACTCATCCACTTAATTGTCTAAACCAATCATTCCAGTCATGGCAATTTAATAAACACTTACAGAATTACGTGTTATCAGAAACTGGTGAAAACACAAAACCTGGAGGCTAAGTCTGCAAGATGCAAGAAGACACAAGAGACTGCTGAGGCACTAAGCAGAGGAAAAAGTTAAGACAAACATGTTTGAAAGCAGCTGTGGTAAAAATTAAATGCATGGAATTTTCTAAAACTGTCTCTCTCAAGACAACCCAAGACTAAATAAATCTGAACAGAGATTAAATTTTATGCATCTAATATTCTTTATAACTCTGACAGATACGAAGAATGAAAGCCAGGAACTTTGAATCAATAATGTCTTTTTAATCACTTATTCTCATTCCTCCAGAAGGCTCCTGCATGTTGAACTACTGCAAACTGTAACTTCCTTGGGCCTTCGCATCTGCTCGCCTTTCAGAATGACACAGCAGTGCAGACCAGCAGTTCCTGGGAAAATAATTCTCCAGAGTACAGTCAGTTACATGGCAGCATCGCCTGCAAAACACTGCTACGCAAATAAATGGTTTATTTATCATCTGTTAGTCACGTTTATGTCCATTCTCTTTTTGCATGCCCAAGGTCTAACTGTGAATCCTTACCAGCACAAGTAACCTTCTCCACCTGAAGAATCCAATGTCAATTTTTAGCAGTGTGAAACTGTTTGTGTGTGTGGCCGGTCATTTCAAGGCACTTTTGTATAAAGGAAGAACAGAGAAAAAGTTCCTGCCAAACCCTTATCTTGACCTTCTAATGGTTAATGTCTCAGCGTACTTTCCAGGTATGTCTAAAGACTCAGAGAATTATCTCAAAATAGCAATGCTTTTGCAGAACAAGTAACTGATACGGTATTTAGGCTTCTACCAGTATCACAACATTTCTGAAGCCCAAACAAGATATAATCGCTGCAGAGGATCAACTGCTGCACCAACACATTATTTTACAAGACAGCAAATTTCTGATCATATTTCAACAGAGAAAAGTACGAGAATCTTGCCAATCTAAATAAAACATCCCACATTAATAACTGGCACAAAAACGAGAATTAAACTTTGTGTCACAGAAAAAAGCTGTTCCCTGCGATAAGCTAAATACGATCCCTGTTATTAACTCCAGAAAACGGAATGTAAACAGCCTTTATTATACCTTGTACGGACCTTTCTCCTTGCTTTTGTTTTCCAGGCTCTATTAAGATACCGGGGAAAAAGAAAGCGCTGTCACACGTTTCAAACACTTTCTCCACACGGCCCATAGATGGCAATGCGCTGCCTCCCAGCTCGGCTCCAGCCACCGCTCACCCCACCACAGCGCTCAACCTCTCTGGCAGCCCAACAACTTCTTAAATCATTAATAATTTATTGCTAAATGCTTTCCTTTTTCTCCGATCAACAAGTGTTGTTCAACAGCTCCAAGCAGGTTTGAAGACAGTGCGCCGTTCAGCGCGCCTTTAACGAAATTCAGCGTCCGTTTAAATGCTGAATCACTGTTTCGGGACGACTCAGCCATATAAAGGCACGTTTCATAGATACTGCAGGGAAGATCAACCCCCTTTTTACTTCGTGTAGTGAATGTTTATATACAAATGCAATAGTTCGCATTTTATCCACATAAACAAAGCTGAGTTAAGCAATACATCTGAGAGAGTCTCGTTACATTTACCTATAATTAAGAATGAGGAACATTTGCTTCTCCTTGGAAAGGGGGAAGTGATCTCTGAGAGTTACTGAACAGCTATCGTGCTGTATCATCGACTCCTGATTCACCTCACGTCACCTCTCCCCACTAGCTCACCTCCCGAGAATGCTTCCTATAATTCAAAATAACTGCTTAAGCAGTTAAAAATAAATTTAAGAGCACATCTGATGATAAACAGCTAAAAAAATCCCTTCAAACCATTACATTTAACCCTCCTTGAGACCCGAGGAGAGGCAACATTTAAAACTGGCCAGGGCTGGCTGGGACTGAAGCCACATCTCTCTCGAGACCGCTGGTTTTCACCAGTGCAAATGAAAACCTTACACTACTGGCAAAAGACAACTTCCACAACTATGATACACTGAAACACTGCAGAGCAGAAACACAAGGGATCATATCGAGAAACTGTAAATAATAGTATTTTTCATGAAGATAAAGAATTATGTGGATTGCAGTGGCACCTATATACATGGGAATGGCCCATGATGGAGATATCAGCCATATGGAAACACAACAAAACAGGTCCTCAGAGAGGTTTTCTGTATAACGCTCAAAATAGTTAAAGCACACAGGGTGCAAAGAGAACAGCTGTTCAGCACTACTTTGGAATAAATTCCATAAAACACCTAGTTTTGCTATTTGTGAGGTGTTCCTAAGTGTGTCAAAAAATCTTTATATAAATTATATGTAATTTAACTTCTTACAAAGTCACTAAACTAGGTTTTAAGTTTAAAAAAGAATTAAGCCAGTAATTTACCTTCGAAGATTAGGGTGGAAAAATGCTTTCCTTACTATTGGGGTAGCTATATAGGATAGCTAGTCCATTAGTTCAGCATTACTGCACAGTCCATTATATCAACAGGGTCACCACAACACAGGTGGCCTTGGCTGGGGACCTGTGGCCCCCACAAGAGGACACATGAAGAGACCCCTGAAACAAGGGCCACAATTTAGAAGTGTCGCATATAGAGATCAGAATATCTGAAGAGAGACAGATATTGGATAATAATACTATAAAAGCTCTCTTCTGTCATGTCCAACACGCCTTACAACAGAATGTGTAAAACAAGAAGATTAATTTGGATCACTGACCATCTCCTCTCTAGACAGCACAGATTTTGGAGTCTGAATGCTAAAACAGGATGAGCAAACGCTGCAGATCCTTCTTTTTATTAAGCCTGCAATGTCACATAGAGCTGAACTGTCTTGTATTCTGTAATTTATTTCTGTTAATTTAGTGTCTCCAGAGAGTCCCATTTTTTGTTCAGTAGTTAGACATGTCCTTAGAATACAACTCGATATTTGTACAAATTGGGCATGAGTACAAACAAACTGATGATCTGTAGAAGGCTGAACAGCTGCACAACTGAACTTTTCCTATAAAGACTGAAGGCCTGCAAAAGCAGCAAAAAGGGTGAGCTAACATGGTGATTCTCCCCAGATTTGTAACAGAAACAAACATCAAATGTAGTCACTTAAACATCTGAAATCACAACGAACCTGACTGATCTTTCCAGGCCATCTTTGGCCTCCAGACAACTCTGACTGCTGATGCCAATATGGAGGAAGCCACACTCCTAGCATTAACTAAGCAGCACAAAAATGAAACTCTAATGGCTGTAGGAATAAATATGGATGAAACGGTTGCAAGGCAAAAACGTTTCAGAAAACGTCTACTAAATTTTCACACTGCACATCTTACCTACATAGAGGTAAGATTTTTTGGCACCCAAGTTTGTTTATTTTCAAAATAAACTGTCTGACCTTCCACTAGCAGTAAGACCGAGACAGGGCTGATCACTCCACAGACCCCACAGTTAATTTGCGTTATCAAAACTGCGGCACTGCTGTATTTTATACAAGAAGCAATGCTAAAGCTCGAGGGATAACTGCATTCAGCCACATGTCCAGTCAAAGATGAAACTGTCACAATGCATCACTGTTAACTCCACATTAAGATAAACAATCAAGTTCCTATTTTAGAGCTATTAACTTCTCTAGCCACAACATACACACCAATAGGCACTTTCCAAGTGATTAGGATAATGACTAAACAATCATTCTGCATATAATATTAACATTATATGCAAGTGAAGGATGTCTTCAAAAGTACATGATTAAAAACTTATTGCTGAGACAACTGGTTTGTGATTTAGTAAGATACACAAGCTCACATCCAGATTAATACCATTCCAGATTCATACTATTCCATTCTCATTCACAAACATTAAATATTGTCTCTGATTTCATCCCTACAGGTAAAAGCCCTTAGTTCTTACACCTTCAGACACAAATTCAGAAGAAGGGATGCTGCATGTCTTCTTCTCTGCCTCTGGGAAACTGAAACTCCTAAGTGGTCTAAGAGCAAAACAAGCTAGGCAGAATACATATCGTCATAAATGCATTCATAGCAAGTGAAATTTAGTATTTTAGAAGAACCTTAATTATCCCTTTAGAAGCTAACAGCTACAGTGTGGGAACACCTACATTCATCTCATACTTACAAAGACAGGACCACAGCTTACTGTAAGCTTTAAATATGAAATATGTAAACCACATTGACATTTTCAGTGAATTGTGGCATTTAGTTTAGGCTGCCAATGCTAATTTCTCAATTGGGCTGTTCAAAATAATTAAACTTACAACAGAATTAAAATTGGCGTGTAATGTTGAATCTATGCATTGTAAAAATGTACATAAAAACCCATATAACAAATAATAGTTTTTTTAAAAACGAGTAACACATAAATAATAGATTTTGGGAGAGTTCTTTTCCCAAATAATGTCAATTTTACAAAGAACTACTACAGCCAACTAATATAGTGTGTCAGTAGAGTCAAACATTTCAAAAACAACCGTAAAGAATTTCGGCTGAGGCACATCCCAGAAACAAGTCTCCAGCAAAGACTGACAGTGCTGTTAGAAAAAAGAACAACTGTATTTTTTCCAAACTAATTAAAATAGAGAAATGATAGTACAGACAAAAAAATATTCACAACTATCTAATCTGATGGTTTTTGTGTGTTAACTACAAGAACTGCGAATCTAAATTCCGTTAACATTACCAATAATTGAATCAAAGTCTTTGTCAAATCTAGAGTCTACTTCTGGGTATCAGTAGGTATCTCTTATTTCCCTGCATATCATGTCATCGACTTCCTTTCTGCAGTTTGCTTGGAGCATTAAACAGGTTTAACCATACAAATAAAACCAGGGCACAGCCTGAAGCAATCACTAGTTTGCTGTTAAATTATTTATCTTATTATTTATCTGTCTTTGAGATATAAATTCAACGCTACAAAAAAAGTAACATTTTCAAGGAGGAAGAAGCTTTTTAAGAGGCAGGTGAGGGTCTAGAAGTAATGGAGATGCATAGCCCTAGCACGCCCCCCTCAAAGGCTCCATCTTCACTCTGAATGTCTTCTTCCTTCAACAGACAAAATAACCCAGACCACCTCACCCCAGTTCTTGCACTGGGACTTCTAGGATAGCAGTGCATTTCTACTGGACTCAAGGTGGTCAGTCAACAACAACTCAATATTCTTTCCTTTGTGGAATGGAAAAAACAGAAACTTTCAAAGACCTTTCACTGGAAAACCCACCCAAGGATTGGAACATGGAAAACAGCAGTGTAAAGAGGGGAAAAAAGGCAGAGAAAAACAAATCAATATATTTTTCCAAAGTCAAATTTCTCTTGTAAAGACACCACTGCCAGTGCCAGCAATTTTATAGGAGCAAGTGCATAAACTTAGGGTATACATTTTAAAATTATACTGTCAAAACTTGATATCTATCCATTAACTGTTACATGAATGCTCACCTATATAGTGCTCTCAGATGGACACAGAAATAGAGGGAACTTAAAAAGTTCATTACAGGTTCTCAAGCCTAAAACAAGTGCAATCTAAGACCCCTTATCCCAAAGAGTAATTTCAGACATTTGGCGTTGTAGAAGGACACTCAAAAGGTCAGACCTAGACACAAAGGGTGATTCATGGGATACAGTACAGTTGTGTACCCTTGCTGTAGTTATTCTACACTTTCTTGTAGTCAATGGATAGAAACAGTTCCCTTAGGGCTGGATTCGCCTCATCCTAAAACTGACAGCAGAGTCAACCTAAAAGTGCCTATTTCTCTCCTCTCTAAGGCAAGAATCTCTTCAGACATAACCTAAAGCTGACATAGAGAAGTCTATATCCCAGATGCACTGAATACCATCCATAGTATCTGAACACCACCTAAATTCTGTTAAGTGAGTGCAGGAATCCAATTAACACCTGGGTTCAACACTTCTGACCTCTTTCTTCATAAGAGGCTGGGCTGAGTAAAAACACCTAGAACACAGCTTGAGCACTGTACATTGCACTGACAATTCTCTTTAGAAAATAAATGGAGTGACTTTAAAATCTGCAATTTAGTGTCAGTTCTAAAAAATATATTTAGTGTCCAATAAACAAAACCACCCTTCCATGTTCAAAATTACCTTGTTTATTTACTTCATTCTGAAGCAGCTCTTCCATTGCCTCTTCTTCAGCAATATCTAATGGAGTGTCTCCTTCACTATTTACAGCCCCTACATGTGCTCCTTGACTAATTAAATACCTGCCAATAAAAGAAAAAGAAACACAAACTTTAAGCAACATAGTAAAGCTGATGGGAAAAAAAAATAGCAGCCACTAGGATATCATATGCAGTGGGTTTATACTTGCACACATACAATTAATAGAAACAACTATATTAGGTATGAGTAAAAAACCTTATGACTGTATACAATCCCTGAATACCTCTATGTCTTTTCATCGTAATACAAATAGCCTTCTGTTTGCCCTTCAGTTTGCCAAAGACTCTTAATACATTTAAATACATACTTGCAAGAACTGAAAGAAGAAAACAGTCAGATGATGAACACACTGAACACAAGGTCAACAGGGGCTGAACCACCGATTCCCATAAGCTCCTCATATTAAGCCACTCTTCCTAGAACTCTCAAATTCAGTGGCACATTATGTTTCTATGATTTGCCAGAATCACGACTCCTGGTCTTTGAAGCAGCTGCATGAAGTTAATAAAACCAGAATCACCTCTAAGTATTTGTAAGGTCAGCTTTCGGTGAGGAAAGAGGCAAGGGGGGGAAAGGATGCAGGACTTTACACTCTATTGCAACCTCTAAGTATGCTCTCATTTAATGGACAACTGTCTCAGGAGTCAACAACTCAGAATCAGTGGAATTTACTTCTGAATTTCCAGTTAAATCAAATGTAAAACTTCCAACAGTAATAACAAAAGGATGATGTTATTTCATTGTATTAAACCAATACCCTATAAAGTCATTAAGAACCTACAGCTTAATATATGGTCTGTTTATATGTAGACAAAGAAGAATAATTAAAACATCAAGACAGATCAGTCTTACACCTTCTGACCATAACATTTCACTTTCCTAATGAATTCAATAGTTTGAGCAACAACAGGACTCGATACAAGCAAAAACTGCTACCACACCTCCTACCTTGCACAGCTTAATTACACTTCTCATGTATTTGAGGGAAAAACATCAGGAAAAACTCAGCGTTAGTTATCAACCTGGTAACAGGTGCATAAAATCACATATGCTTTCTTAACCTCACTACTGCAGAATGCCAAATTTTGCAGAAGTCAATCACAAAATTAATCCAATATGAATACAAATGCTTTAAAGTATTTCTGCAGTATTCAGTAAGTCAGCATCAAGCATTCTCACACACTTCTATTTTTTAATGTACAATTTAAACAGCACTTGTTACTAAACCTCTGTAATTATGTCAAGAAGCGGTAAGAACTGACAGATCACAAAACGGAAAATAATTCCCAGAAGTGTAACCGTATCTCCTGGGACATGCATCATCCGTCGCCACCACTAACTCTGATGCTGGTATGCAGCGCTGGTTTTATCCCGTTGCTCTTATGAGTGCCGCTGTGACCCCTATATCTCTCTCCAGTTTAAGATTTAACTTCTACAGGAAAGAAAAATGAATGCAAAGTAACGGCACTTCTCACCAATACCAGTGGTACTGTTTTTTCCAAGTTACAAATCCAGATAGCTGCTATGCAGGGTGTCTGCTCAAGAGGCAAAAACAGCAGTGGGGAAACAAACTTTCTTACAAAGTCAAAACGTCGATTCAAAACCAAAGTCAACCACTGACAAAAATATTTGTATAAAAAATTCCCATGTTAACATTCATGTTCTTTCAACTTGTTTTTTCCAATAAAGGCATGAAAAAAGTGACGTTTAAAAACCCTGATTTTTACCTGCTTCCATATAATACCTATAGGGAAAAATTAAGCTACTTTTGTAAGGAAAATATGTATTGCATTGAAGTGGCTGTATTTTGTCAACCAGGTCAATAACTTACAGACATGATAAAAGGAGCAATGCATAAGGAATTGCAGGGAATTAACAAATGCCTACAGTAGCATTTCAGAAAGTGATTATTATTTAGATACATGAACAACTTTGATGATCAAATGATCCTTTAAAGAAGTCTCCAAAAATGAAGCTGCTTACAGGCCAAGATCAGCTCAGCAGAGCTAGGGGGGATTAGCAGGGCTGGAGAAGTGGAGTTATCTGAGTTCCCATCACGTGTGCTTATGGGGCTTTGGTTTGCCTGGGTCAGAAAGGCAGGATGGGTGAACCTGCCCTGAGTCCACAGCATTTAAAGGGATGGGAGAAACAGGAGAACGAAGAAAGGCTCTCATGCTCCTAGCCAGGGACATGAGAACAGTCCCTTCCCAGCCTTCCTTCAGCCACTCCAGTCAGGCCTCCCTTCTGCCAGTCCCAGAAAAAAACTAACAGTGATCCCTTAAGCAAATTAATAGTGAAAGAGCGATACTCAGTCTAAATGAAATTATTCAAATTTCAACTATTTTAAAGACACCTTTTGAGGCTGGTAATGAAATCCTTGTTTGTTTATGCATTTGTTTATCTTCATTTACAGTAGAAATGGTTTCAGCAAAGCTATGACAGGGTTCAGATGATAAATGAAGTCACACTGATGCCTAGAGGATTGTAGCTTTAATTAGGAAAACCAGCACTACAGAGGGAAAGGAGAGCAATCCTTTCAGGCGTGTTGGTAACCTGACTCTGCACCACGTACAGAAAGGGAACAGATTTGGTAAACACCACCAAGAGAACGATGCTCTGAGCTTGCATGGCACAGCTGGGCAGAAGCCAGTACCAGGATAAACCTGAAAATCAGAAGGTTTTGCTGTTTGGTTTTTTTTTAAATTACTTTCCAAACAAGTTGCCTTCAACTTAAATGTTAATTAAAACTTTCAGTATGACTTCAAATATGGATGTATTTGACATTTCAGTTATTCTGGTACCATATACTAAAATCTTCACATGTACACTGTATTATTACGTGTAGGTATGTATCCATATTAAAAATAATCCATGTTTAAAAACCCCCACAAGTAATTGCTTGCATTTTATCTTTATTAAGTAGGTGCTATGTTCATCTTGAAATTTCATCTTCCAAAAGCAAATAGACAGAACTTTCACTTCCTCAGCTGATATTCAAGTGATACAGCTACATGTATGTGGTGAAAAGGAAATTTGGCCTGTGTAAGAAAAAGTCCAGAACCGTGCTCTTTGATAACATGTGCAGGAAAATGTCATTTTTGCAAACCTGGATGCAGTGGAAAAGTAAAAACATACAGGACTCCCACCATCACCTACTTCAAAACCTTTCAGTACAGCACTTAAGTAATTCACTTGTTGCAAAATGGCCACGTATCACAGACAGCTACAAAAGAAGAATCCCAAAAATCCAACGATAATTTCTATAACATTCTGGTAGGCGCTCAATCAAAATGTAAATCAATGAGAAAGAAACAGTGGCTTGATCCACACCATGCTGGTTCTTTTTCTGGAGCTAAAGCTTTCGAAGTGTCGATACTGAAGCTAAAGACAGCTTGTTTAGATCCTCCCGTGGTCTAAGGACAGAGAATCACAAGTATCCCAGGACTACTATAAGAGACAAGAGCGGCAAAATAAAACAAATTCATTCCTGAAACTTTTGCCCCACGTTTCCATGACAAGCATTGTGCAGCCTGGGTAAGACTGGAACAAGAAGTTTGCTTTGTGATACCACTGTTTTATGAAAGGAGAAATACATTTATTTGAAATTTAACTTTTAGGAATCACTGCTGTATATTCCTCAAGAGCTACTGAAGACTGAAACTAACAGTCTTGGAAAAAACCATGAAACATTTATTTTCTGAAATTATTATGAAACTCAGGCACACTCCCATCATTTTATGAACAATACATTTCTATATCTCTCATAAAGGGTTGGAACCTCGGTATATCTGAGACAATAAAGAGCAACCCTCAGAGGTCACTACATAAAAGCCCAACAGTTCACACCAAAACCAAGCTCAGGAACTGGAAGTTGAAAATTTTACCGAGCAACTTGGCCTACACTCTGAATTCAAAATCAAACAAATAAAAAAACCCTTATGGATGACTCTGTCTGTGTGTGTGTGTGTGTGTGTGTGTGTGTGTAAGTCTATTAACTAAATGCACATAGGGACACAAAGTAAACGGAGAGGAAGACACCTCCCGCTGAAGAGGAAGACACCTCCCACTGAAGACAAAAACTTTTTTATGAAGTCTTATTTATGAAGTCAGGAGTAACTGAGTTAAGAATCGGGAAGATGCTCATACTTTGGCTTTGCTGAAGTTTGTTAGCTGCAGACGAGATGTGCTGCAGATAGTACTTTACTATTGTTTATCTCTGCAACTGAAAGAGGGGCATATGTTTACATTCGAACCCTGCCCCAGTTCACAGTATCTGCAAACAAGCTGACGAAGTCATTAGGGATATAATTAACTGTAAGCGCTCACTGAACCTAGAGGTCACCAGAAGGGTGGCGAGCATAAGGCAAGGCAGGGAAGTGGCAGCTGAACTGATTCCGTTCATTAAAAATTGCTTCTTGAGCTCATTGGAGACTCACCAGGGAAAACAAGAGGTTCCCTCAGACAGAAGACTGGACCACAGTCTCTAAATGTGAGCACAGGAACCTTCCCAAAAAAATCTCTTGCTGAATACAAGTTCAATGTGTTGTATATACATTTAAAATAAACAGAGGAACATGGCTTAATTGCTAGCAGGAGCACCCACCAACAGTGCAACCAGTCTCCCAACAGCTTTTAACTAATCTCAGCTAAACTCAGCTGTTTTTTTTAAAAATCCATGGATGGCGGAGTTTAAGTTAATTCCTTTAGTGTCTTAACTGAATGGTAACAGGGAGCCAAAGACAGAAAAGTGTCACTGTGTTCATGGAGCTGTGCAAGCTGTCATCTGTAAAGACAACAACAACAACAACAACAAAATCTGCCCCACAGTCCACAGGATGTAAAAACAAATTAAAAACTTACACACCTTTGGAACACGCACTTTAAAACACCTTTCAGAACTAGTGCACTGATTATCTTAAAATATCAATACACTTTTAGAATTGTGTCTTTATAAGTCATTCAAATTACTAATAAAAAGACATCCTTAATAAATCTGGCCAGTTGAACCTTCCAAGAGACGTTTAACAAATAAAAAATATAAAATGTTAACACTGTTGTTTTTTTATAAAGTTGAAGCACACT